AAAACAAGAAGTTAAATGCATATCACCTTACCAACATGCAATATGGCATCATATCGACCGTTTTGTACTTCTTTCTGTAARGGTGCGAGTGATTGTGCATTGATAACGCCAAGGTCACCGTAGACAGCAAAGCTTGGAGACCAGTGTGAGTCTTGYTTTGTGGTAGAGAATGAGTAGATGGCACTCCAACCATCGTCTCCACCGCAGTGGTAATCTGAAGACATAATAATTTCACTTACACACAAATTTGATAGTTATKAGCTAAGTAAGAGCAGTTTTGCATAATTTGGACTCGGATGCTTTTGCGAGAGTAGGAAAAGCTGTTATCCTTCAAGAGTTTGTAAGGTTACTTGTGATTGGAGGAATAAAACAATGCTCATTGTTTCCTCGTTCTTAAATCCTATTGTTTTCTTTTATTTAAGAAATACCTAGTAAACCAATCAGATAAGATCTTGCAAAACCATCATGAAGTGCTACCCAGGAAAAGATCTGAGTTTATTATAATCATCAACAATATTATCATTTTTAACCATCCCCATGAGATTCAAAAGATAAAAGAAAGGCGGCCATGTTGGAGGAATGAACAATAGATACTAATGAGAAATCATTGTTGAAGTTCCTCCAAGATGGCCGCCGTGACSYATAGTGAAAACGAAGGATTCATACCATAAGACGTCGATGGCAGCAATCCAGTGAGCTTTACTTTGTGTATATAAATAACTCTTTTCGCTTTTCCACACGTTACATAACGGGATATCTTTGCTGGTACTTTAGTGTTCATTAGCCCTCCACTTACACCAAACTCTACAAAACTGTTATTAGGTCTGAGTAACGTAGTCCACGTTACCATCATCTCTGATTGGTCACCTGAGTAAAAAAATCTCATTGGTTAAGCTGAGCAATAAAGAAATCTCATTGGTTAAGACAGAAAACTAACTGGGAATAATAGTTTTGATATTTTATCWATTAAATACAAATATCTTGAAGCGAGTATTAGAATATTGAAAAACTAGGCAATACAGCCAGATGAATGTGTGCTTCAAAATCACAATTCATTGCAAATTTATATTATCCAGGCAAAGACGTTATATTATATATATATATTTTGAAGATTTACGCTGTCTAAGTTCTTATTCAGCAGACGTTTTGAATTGATCATTTGCAACCATTCCCATGAGATTCAAAAGATACAAGACCAGCGGCCATGTTGGATGAATGAACAATAGATACTAATGAGAAATTCTTTTGGTTGAAGTTCCTCCAAGATGGCCGCTGTGACGTAACTTGAAAACGAAGAATAGACTTTCCTCATTCAAAATTTGAATAACTTCTGTACCTGTTCTTGATATGTGAATCTGCTCTGGTTGTGCAGTCAACTCAGGWCCATAGATGTAAACATACGTTGGTCTAACCACAAAGAATATTATAACGGCCARAAACACCAAAAAAGCAATAAAAGCYACCAAAACCATGACGGAAAAACGTATCCATTTCATTTTGGCTTCTTTTGATATAAATTTACAGTTTATATTTGAACATATGCTCGCTAAAACTTTAAAAGCTGTTCGGAAAGTAGAAGAACTCATCTTATCTTGATGGTAATTAGTACAAAATTATATMAAGATAAAGCACTTTATTGGTTTACAGGTGGTGTTTGTTAAAAACGTTAAAAGCAGTATGACTTCTCGYTCGATGATTGGTCGAGCTCAAGAAAGAAGCCGATTTCCGCCATTTCTTTGAAAAGTATCTCAAAACTTTCATTATGTATTCAATTGGTGCAAAAATGCACTTTAGTTTAACACAGGTATCAAAATGGTTAAAGCCCATTTGCGTGATTGTGTCAWTTTGGTACCAAGACCAGAATACTTTGCGCACTTTCATTCTTATAAAAAAATGTTTTGTTCCTTTTAGTTATGCAATTAAGTACATTTTTTAAAGCGAGCAATGCATTCTGGTTTTGGTTAGGATGTGATGTCATTGTGAACATGGCCAATTACAATGCACATTCATTGCAAGCATGGAATCGTTACAATTTGGCTTTATATGGCATTTTCAAACGTCATATTGGTACCAAACGTTTGACTTTGATTCATACGTCGAATCAAGGAAAAGCCGTAAATCCGTCACCGGGTTTTTAAAAATGAGCATTTAAAAATGAGCAGCTAAAAAAAATAGAAATACTCGTAATTCCTAATACTCTTGTAAAATCAGCTGACAAAAATAATCGTAAAAATATCGATAATATGAATTCTACGTCTCTTTTAACCCTGATATACTTGTAGGAGGGAGAGCTCTTCAGTGTTATCCCAGCCAAAACCTCCCTTAATCTCAAAATGGCGCACTCTCACGAGACTTAAAATCAAAGATCTTGCATAACATATAATTTACTAAAAAATATTACTAAATGGATTAATAAAAACTAAAATGTACAACAACAATGGTATATTTAAAYGAGGACTATACTGTCGATAATGTAAGTACAGCGGTAGCGCGTCATTATATAGCAGAATTCCTGCTACACGTAAACCCGAGTAAATGATCATAAATGGCCACTTTTATTGAGCGTTTACAAATCTCATTCGCATAGAACTCTACCTATAGGGTTACTTAATAAACGCTTCAAATTAAAAGCGATGGTGTCGACCGAAAAACACTTTCAGTCCTTTTATAYCAGTAATCGTTTAAAAAGTGTTTATATATCGACACGACATTTTAAAATGATCTTCACTACTAACAGATTCAATTTTGATAGCAACAGTCTTTGTTTACAAAACATTTCTAACGAGTCTCAACACAAAACAAATCGTTTATATCGCAAAATAATAACATCAAATAAATAAACTCGCACAGACATACACTTCTAAAATTAATGATACGAAAGTTTACCTGTTCGCGAAATATGGATCTGTTCCGGTTGTGGTGATGATATATGTTGGTTTCCAGGATGTTTTCCATGTAGAACGATAGATTGCCCCGCCAGCAAGGCAATGAATACGATGAATAGGAAATCGGTCGTCATGATCGTGTCATTATTATCATTAGTTGGTGTTGGATATCGTTCAGAGCAGGTAGTGTACAAAGAAATTTGATTGCTGTGATCATAAACGCCCCCTGACTGCAGGTACTGACACAACAGGGACTATTTTTGATTGAATCAAGCGATTTTAATCATTAGTAAAGAGATAAATAAATAGCTTTCGAAAAATATTTTTTCACGTCTGAATAATTTTGCATTTTATCAACAACTATTAAGTCAAAAAAGTAGACCGCAAAACCCAAGTATATGAAACGTTATCAACCTTAATTGTTTTTTAGGTTTATTTTTTTAAATATTTAAAATATTCTAGTTGACATTTATTTCAACTCACTGAAAGAACCCAATTACCGGAAGTGACGTCTGTGAACAATCCGCATACCAACCTCATCGCGGGCTCAATTTTTAAATTGATAATTGAAGATATGAGAATATGCTTTCCTAAACTGRGATTCACATCATAATTTTGTAAGTATCAAAACAGCCGAAGGAACAAGACCTGCGTCTTTGAGAGTTTTGTCCATGTCTGCCGCAGYGAAGGTTTTGCGTGGAAATGACGTCATAAGAGCAAAAGGAACACTGCTGTCCGTCCTGTTTGCGGACACATAATCGGAAACAGTGGAGAGAGTATCGGTGGCCTTGAACGARCCAGTCATTGTGCTTCCGTTTGTCAARCGAAACTGCGAAAATACAGAGAAGTGTTTCAATAATATCGCCAAAAAGCACTRGGTCGCAKGGAACCCTGGGTMTATTTTCTTACATTAATAGTGTGCGAAGTGATTGATCAACTTTTGCTTTTCGTGTTTGTAGAAGCACTGACCTGTAATTTGCATGTATCGTAATCTTTCTTCTCTGTTTGGACAACTTGAGGTGCAGGGGCAGCWGGAGGYGATTGTRCGCTTGAACTGGTTTGGCCAAACTAAAAGAAAATGATATGCACATGAAAATTAATCCCGTCATTGAAATTTKGCACGACCAATAAGTGTAGGGAGAATTCAAAATGGTAAAACTGATATCCTTTGCGAAATGCAAACTGCTTGCCTCTTGGAACTCTAAACGACTACTTACTTTTGCTGCACGTTCTGCTTTGTCTCTTGCAATTTGTTCTTTCACCTTTTGCCTGCACCGAAAAAAAAAACAAACACACACAAAAAAGATAAGCTTTCAACGCGAAACGACTTTGAGAAGAGGTAGAGACTAGTGCGCATACGCCCTCATAAGATTAATGATAAAAGTTACCTTGCTAGTTTCTCTTCTTGTCTTTCTCGTCTTTTCAACTCTGCTAACTTCTTTGCTTCTTCTAGTTCCATTCTGTTAATCGAAGTGAAAGGCCACTTTATGTTTTAAATTTCATATTTGTAAGCAAACAATGACCGGCGGGGTAATTGAGGGGAAAGAAATGGCAAGGTGAAGACGACCTACTTATGTTTCATCTCTGTTATTTCTTTCCCTGTCTTTCGTCTTAGTTTTTCTTTTTGTAGAGCTTCCTAAAAATCGAATTGAAGAGGTTTTGTAAATGGTTTATATTAAAGCGTATATAATACATAGAAGTTGAAGGGAAACAGCCGTTTAGTGACGGGCTTCCTGTGTCAGAGAGAGTACAGGAATCCCGAAACTAAAACTGGTTATCCATTTACTTGAAACAAACCTGTTTTTCTTGTTCTTTCTTCTCTTGGCGTCTTTCMGAAAGTCTCTGCTGCAGTCTGCAATCAAATAATTGATCATTTAATCAAACTGCAGTTTAATAATCTCATAGAATGTGTACATTGTCTGACACAGGTAACCCAAATTTCATCCGCTTTGACAACTTTATCCACCACAATAAATTTTATTCAGTCATTCATTTTTTCAACCATTCATCCAACCATTTATTTATTTATCCAAATACTCACTTTTCCATTCTCAGTTTCTTTTCTTCTTCTGTCAATGGTTTAATTTCTTCAGTTGACTCAGCAAAGTTAGAATGACCTGTCTTAGCTGCATGGAACTACAAGTTTTCAAATAATGACTTTATAATATTTTAATCTTTGACAGAATGCAAAATATATCAAATACTAACCTGAACTTCATTTTCATTTCTCATCTTCTTTCCACAGCTACAAAATGAATGAGTTAATAAAAAAACAATTTTTAAGCATGAATAATTTGTATTTGTATTCAGCAATTGTCAAGATATAGAAAAATAATTTAGCAAAACCCMAAAATATTGTGCAAGAAAACAGMATTTAAGTTTTTCTTACTCTTCGCAGACAAGTGAAAGAGCCTGTTGTGATGCTGGTTCAGAGGAACCTTCAACTCCATCTTGTTGAGTCTGAGCTTCAGTGGAGGGCTGTTCTGCTTCCATTGCTTCAGCATTGGGAGGAGAACTCTCTGACGTTCCAGGTGGAGTCTCTRTTGGTTAAACAAACTTTATATTTATACTATACTCATTAATGCAGGTAAAATTGTCTACATTTAAAACTTGATGAGGAAGTGGTCAATTCAAGAAGATTTTACAGTGGTTKAAGTATATTTTAATCAATATTGACCTATTCTTTTCTTTACACATACCTGTTGAGCCTAGCGTGTGACCTGCACTRGGGTTGTAAGGTTCATCAATATCTGGATCTTCAGAATGAGCAAACAACCTACAAAAAAACAATTTGTTATTGAGATAAGAAGAGTCTAGTTCACTGTCCTCTGCACCATTTTGAAAGTTATCTGTTACTTTCTATTAGAATGAAATGGCCAGTGAGTGCTTGATATTTTTAGGAGCCTCCATTCATGTTTGCACATACATGTAATAAAAAGGCACAGCTAACAAGATTAAGACAGAATCATGAATAAAATCCTACAAAAGAATTATGCAGTCAATTTGCTGAATACATACCAATCCATTGCAAGATGTACACCTTGATTGCCAGTWATAGCCAAAGCTTTTTCCCTGTGGGCAAAATAGATCACTTTCATTTGAGTGAAAGATTCTACAAGRCAGTTAGAAGATTGACAACTAACGATGCACTTTTACAATGAAATATTTTTTCTTACTTTATAGATAAAACCACAATTTAAATATAATATGACTAAAAGAACATCGTGGATGTCTGAATTCATTAAGTTATTTTTTTTAATGATGGGCTGGCGTTCTCTGGTCCTCTTTCTCTGACCCTTTTGAATTGAAGTGAGCTGATCTATAAAACTTACGCTCGGTTGCGTGGAAACCCCATCTCCATTAAAGTTTCTATTTCAGTTGACATCTTCAAGGCTTTCTGTCTCTACAAATAAGCAACAASAARAAGCAMTSCTCCCCAAATATTTWAAAAAATAGRAATCAAATTTTGCACAAACTTGATTTTTTCGAAGTGAATCTGCAATCACTGGTCAGCGGAACTCGTGCCCAGTCTTTTTCGAGTTTTCAGGAAGTAAACATTGTGATATCTGACAGCCAAGCGGATAATCAATTTACCCYACAGCTGTTCAAAGATTGAAAACGTTTATGTTTAAGAAGCATATATTAGAARGCTTAGTATTTGTTGAGTGCCTTATTAGATCGCCACGTCACTGAAGCTAATCAAATACAAGTACGGAAGGTGATCTTATGGATTAGGTTTCATGGTTATAGAGATGATCTCGAGTCGTTCAGAAGTTCGTTTGTGTTTGTGCCGAAGGTAATATTATAACTTACTTTTATTGTAAGCTAATTCTTGGAATAGAGACTATTATTWTTTACGACTCAGTTTTATTTCTTTGTTGAAAGATGGCAATTGAGCAATTTGTAATATAAGCAACATTTTTTTGTACATTTATATAAAGTGTCGTTTGCTCCTTTGAAAACTTTAAGCTTATATAAGTTATATTATTTTCTGATAAAAAAATGTCGCTTGCTCCTTTGAATACTTTAAAACCTTTTTTATTTTTCTCACAGCATGAATACAGCATAAAAAACTATAGAGGAAGAAGACTTGAGTATCCAAAACTTCAAAAACAATGGAAAGAAAAAGAGCAAAACCAAAGAATGATAAAATAGAGTATACCCCTCTCTCWACTGTTGAGATTGGTCTTTACTGGTCAATATGGATGTCAATTGTTGCATTTTTGATGTATACACTTTATACGGTATCGAATGGTAAGTGCAGCATAAGCCAAATATAAGCTTTGCACATCTAGAAATTATGCTAAAAAAGAGAAAAGAAATTTCAGTTGCAATTAACACACTACCCTGCGACTGAAGTAAGGCAAATAACACTCTGTTCGCAGGGTAGCAACACACGTACAGGGAATATAAAAAAAGTGAATCCTAATAAGGCTTATAGTTACTAGAATAAGACAATTGAATTGCTAACATTATGCTAAGCCAAACGTTTTTTGCCCAATTCTTAAATCTTATTCTTTATCGCAGAATATAAAGACGATGTTTATCCAGAAGACTTAGGTGAAGGCTGGAAGGTTATTGGTCGCAAAAAGGTAACTTGTCTTCAGTTGGGACAAGACGGATAAATCAYTCACTGCACAATGAAAGACAACAATTTTTTACATTGTATTATGATATTCATTGTGTTATCACAGCTGTTTCATTGAGACGGCTAACAAAGACCTTAATCAGTGCAAAAAGTCTCCTGATGAAGATCTATTATAACAGGCCAAACCATCCGAATAAATTTAGATTATAGATCAAAGCCAGAGGCATTGTTTATTATGAATACAATTTGCAATTTTCACTTTTTGTACTTATTTAACCTTATAGGATGTTTCAGACATGGAGTGGGAGTTCTGGCTAAAATTTAAGTTCATTTTGCTGGTTGCATATGGACTYAACTATCTTGGAGGCCTAATTATATCAATTTTCTTCCCAAAGGTATAATACAAGAAAATGTTAMAAGACATAGGATCCCTGTGTAGTATTTAATGCAGTGTGGGATTCCTGTGGTACAGGAAGCCCAAACTGGGGTTGGGGTTTGGGTCGGTAAAATTGCACTCTATAATGGTTTGTTTTGGTTTACCAAATAGTTTAAGCTCATCTATTACCTGGTGTTTACCTTGGGTTTCCTGACTGCTGTCATTGGCATCCGTGCTGTGATTTACCTTGTTTTACAYTGTCTTATCATGTACGTATGTGCGCTGACGGGTTCTGTTTTACTGGTCTGGGGAGCATCATTAGCAATWACCGCATCTCTCCATTTTGAGTCTATTAGACTGTGGCAGGTTTGTATACAAGTGCTATTAAATGAATTAAAATCATGAAACGACTGAAAGAAATAGTGAATGGGAAAGCAGAATGAGAAAGGGAAGAGACAAATGAGTGAAAAGTTGTGCGTTTTCAGTTATAATTCTCTTCTTTTGTTTTATTTCCAGTTTAAAACGTTTTGAACATTATATTTTTTACTATCAACAAAGCATTGATTTGAAGCATTTTTTGTCATTTTAGTTCCAGTACTTGACAGACAAGTCAGAACTGAGCGACTTTACTTTGTTCGTTGCTTTAATGTCGGTCCTGCGGTGTCTAAGCTTTTGCCTCGATTACTGCTGGAGAGAAGAACATAAAGAGAAGCAGTCAGTTTCGTACTCCTTTCTTGACCTTTTGTCGTTCAACTTTTACMTTCCTCTCTTCAACAACGGCCCACTTATGACTTATAACACTTTCCATGTTCAGGTATTTGAACTACATTATCGGGGTTATAAATTGTTTTTGTTGCTGTTGTTTTTGGAAGAGCTGAAAGTACATTGATAAACCCATATTTTCACAGATTCACCAACCGCGTCGATCCTTCACAAAACAAGAAATCCTCTCGATTATTTGGGACTCCATTCGAACGTTCTTTTGGTTCGTTTTCCTTGAAGTCTACCTACACTTCATCTATTCTTCTGCCTTGATCCGAGAGTCACCTGTTGCCCGTAACCTATCTGGATGGGCACTTTCTGCTATCTTATACTCCCAGTTGCATATATTTCTTACTAAATATGTGGTGATGTATCGATTTTCTGGTCTGCTTGCTCGTTTGGACGGCCTGGATCCACCTAAAGCACCAAGATGTGTGTCAACACTGTATACTTTTACTGATATGTGGAGGTAAGACGCCGTAAAAACCATCGTTTTGTGCAAAATATGGGGGAAAAACCGCAGAAACAGTGCTCATTATTAAGGCTATTTTTCTCTACATCGCAGATCTTTTGATCGTGGGTTGAATATATGGATGAAAAGGCAAGTACCATGATACAATTTTTTGACAAATAACTTGATTTTCAGGCATTAATTCTACGACTGGCTTAACTCTAGGTACATATATATTCCGATGGGGGGATCCCGTAGGGGGATTTTTCGACAATTCCTTGCTTCATTTCTAGCATTTGGTTACGTATGGGCGTGGCATGGTGCTAACTACGAYACTGTATGGTGGTTTGTACCCAACTGGATGGGTGTGGCCGTTGAGGGGTTKGTCTCGTCGGTTCGGAATCATCCCCGAGCTATATATCTTCAGGTAATTTGCCTTWACTCACTCCCGCAAACGTCGAATTTCTCATGAATCAATTCAAAACAATTGAGAATATAGTCTCTTACTTGGCCGTTCGTTTCAATCGCTCTCAGTTATTAGACTTAGATGTACAATGGCCCAAAAGGATTATGGGTGCAAAAATTGATGCTTGTTTCTGATTGGTTACAGGGTCGTCTGTCGCCGCGCATGCGTCGTAGAGTGCATGCAATGATTTGCGTCATTCCGTGTTCKTGTTTGATTCTGAGTAATATGGTGTTTCTGATTGGACCGCTGCCCGTTCTGTTTTACATCCATAAAATATTTTATCAAGGTAATATTAAAGTCGTCACTTAAATTGGTATATCTCAAAATATGTCTCCCTTCTGTATCGATTATGCCTCATCGCTTTCACTTCTATGGGGTTCCTGTAGTGGTGATCATCAAGGTGGGGTTTGGAGGGATAAATTCATGAGATTTCATGACTAGCTCTTAGTTATGGCAACATAACTATTGTACTACAAATCGCTTCTGCTTTTCACGATCAGTTTCTTTACCTTTCAGATTTCCCTGTCTCAACGTTGGTCWGTCTGTCTTGTTTGTACTTATCTGTTCAAACMAACATAGACTTGAATCACTACAAAGGCGGCCAATGGTGAACCCGTCGCTCCGTATTAGGCACTCGCWCGTGATGTCATCGCTCCAAATAAGGGACGTTCACGTGACGTCACTGTTGATTGTAAGAGAAGAATACCTGATATCAGCCTAYCTCGTCACGGGGCGAGTCTCATAGTTCCATAAAAGGAAGTCATCTCCATATGGGGGACTCGCGCGTGACGTAATCACATCAAGATCTCACGTGACACTAGCTGTACTTATGAGAACACATGTTGTCATCGCCCCATATATGGAACAACTCAATTTTAGTGGTTCTTCGTGCTTAGAGAAAATGAAAGGCTCTGTGAAAGCACAGCAAAACACATCAGCGAGAGAAGAGGCTCGAACTCTTTATAGTAGGTAGAAAAATAAAGAGAAAAAACGGAAAATATCAAATGTTAATATGAGCACGCGTATAGAATGTTGGTCAATATTTATGGTAACTAAGAATAACGGACGTTAAATACCACTAACAACAAAGAAGACGAGGCGATGGGGTTGTGTAAAAAATATGGTTTATTTGTGAAAAGCCCAACTTCTGTTGCGTCTTTTTACAAAGTTCTATTAAAATGAAATTGCGTCTCAAAGAAGATGCCTCCTTTACATCACTAACTACACTAAATACACGATACAACTAGTTTCGTACAGTCAAAAAAAAAACGGTGTGTTAACGATGCTATTAGCTATTTTTCCATCGTTCATGAAAAATATTGTGTTAGTTTTACAGGTCATTTGAGTATTTAGATGACCCATATACCACACCGAGAGAATATATAAAGCATCTTTTGATCGATTGTTATGGTAACCATAACAACAGTATTATTCGGGTCGTGATGACGTAATAACCACCATTTCTCAACCGCTGATTTTCATGAATGCATAAGCTTATGGGCATTGAAATTCCACTTTTTCTTGCAAGATTAAAATATGGTATAAACCTAYAGAAAAAAAACGTTTTAGGATGGAGAAAAATGTTTTCAATGAAGGAAACTTTAAAGCTTTTGCTTACCTAGAAACCTGGTTACTTAGCAACCATACAGCTCAATTCGCATGGTCACGTGATTATGCCAAGTTCGCGGGAGAATTCGCAGCCATCTTGTTTTTACAGGCGTTGGGAATTTTTGTCGCTTAACACTTTCTGAATCAGAGTTTCCAATAAATATCTGAATGAACGAAAAGTGAAAAGAATGAGATTGGATATATAATAGTTACGTTTCTAGGAAAAAGACGGTATTCGACKTCAACCTTATAAAAAACCTTGAAAAAATAATATTCTCTCTTTTTTTAGGAAATGATATGGAGAAAAAAGCAATTCTGTATTTTATTATTACCCGTAACTATRGTTTTACTTTGCTAAATACCAGCTATTTGCCGATTGAGTATTYAGACTAGCATACGGTAYACCACAGGGTACCCATACCTTTTCACGCCCATTACTCTGAAGTATAAACCACGTGATTTCATCATCAGATACTGCCACCTTAAACGTCTTCACCCACTCTTTGCTAGTACTATGACCAAGTCCTTGGGTTGCTATGGCGCTGACCGTTTTCKCGACTCCAAAATCGATCTGTAGCCAGCTCCTGGGGTCATAAGTCTTTGCGCTCCAGCCTGCCGGCCACGATTCGAGATTGAGACGTGCMCGGTGGGCACCAAACCGTTTRTTATTATTGAATCGAGCTGATGATGCGGTAAGCTGTGCATCACTTATAAGACCATTYTCTATTCCCATTGGTTCGTCACATTTGGCTGAAGAATATGACATGCCAATGTTATTTTTGAGAAAAAGGTTAGCTTGTTTACGAAAATTAATTCTTATATGGGCTCACTTTATACAATTCTTCCTAGAACGGATTGAGATGGATTGTAAAAATCATGAAATCTTTCAAACGCAGCTGATTTTCAGTGATTAAATCGACATTTACGATCCCCATGGCTCGGCGAGTTAAGTGCACCCCTACCCCACCCCTATTCCTTACAAACCTCACCCCTWTTGCACCTTTTTCAGCTAATATCAATAATCAATACAGTAAAAACAATCTCGTAAATAGTGCTCTCACCTTTACATATGGTTTTATTTCCTTGCCTTACTGGGTATTGTCCGTTAGGGCATAAGCACGAGTAGCCATGTGCTTTTAGAAGACACAGYCCTAAACAGCCACCATTGTCAACCTCACAAGGATTGCTAGCAGCTGAAAAGAGAGTCATCGACAATTAGAGTTAGCAACAATAGTAAACATGATAAAATCGTAAGAGTAAAAATGGCGTTAACATTTTTTWAAATATTTAAAAATACTAAGACGATTTCATGCCTGSTTTAAAAACTATGCGAATGAARACTATATCTTCYMTCATTCCCAATACAATGTTRGCAACTTATATATCTACCAMAAAAACTGCTTTGCTTTGCTTGAAGCCCGCCATGTTTGATTCAACTYAGTGACTGAGTGCAAAGCACCATGGGACATRTTATRTAGGCAGAYGATAATAAATTWTATTATTACCTTTAGCTGGGCAAGGTTGGACTGCCTTTAGATCAAACACCTTTCCATTCATACCAACGAATGTCTTRAGAGGAGATTCTGGCAAGTCTGAGTTGACCCCAATCCGATTAACGGCATTTTGATTCCAGGTTGACCAGTACAATGTTCGATTGTAGTACGCGATACCAAATGGATACACAATACGAGAAAGGACCTAAATAACAGAGAATAATCCATTGTTTACAGARCTGCCGGCCATTGGTTATCTATCTGTCGGTTTTTCGTCGGATATCTTTCGGATGATTTATCGGCTAACTGTCGGGTATCTATCGGCTGTTTCCGCTATTTGTGACTAACCTGGCCCGTTTACACTTTTGATTTTTAGAAACGTGGCGATTTTCGCAGGACAATTGCGTGGCGATTTTCGCAGGACAATTGCGTTGCAAAAATCKCAAGTGTAAATGTGTCTTATTAAGGTCAACAAATATTGAAAGATATCATCTAAGATTTTGTTTTTATGTGAGCAAATGACGTTGTTCGATCAAGAGATTTTACCTTTCGGACGCTCAATCCTCCCAAATCCACACATTGTATTGACAAGGACCCAGCGTCTGTATAACACAACTCATTGGTTGATTGTACTAGTGTTAAACCATTAGGTAATACCAAGTCATGATAGACTAATACACGACGATTTGTACCGTCCATGTTGGCTACTTCTATACGAGGTCGACGACGAGTCCAATCGGACCAGTACATTCTCCTAATAAACAACAARCAGGCTTAATAAAAAGAGAGTATATACAATTGTATATATATCATATATATAAGTAGAATGAAATAGAGCAAAACACCAACTTGAAGCTATAATAAGTCTGTTTATTGGACGTTTCGGCACTTCGGCCTTCTTCAGCAAACTGAGTGTTTTATCATACATATATTTTTTTTTTAACAAAAAACTCGTTAGTGACTTTTTGTAAAGTTTTACTGAGTTGTTGTTTTCTTGTAAACGTTCTTGTTTTTCTTCTAAGTTTCTTGTAAACGTATTTAGATTATAATTGTGATTGCTATTGTGTTTAAGTTATTAGCAAATTGTACTACGTACCCGTTCGGGGGATCTACTAGGATGGCCCTGGGGTTATCAAGACCGTTGGAAAYAAGRGCCCTGCGATTGGAGCCATTCAGTCCCGATACTTCAATGACATCAAGAGCAGARTCTGTCCAGTAAAGGTTACGACCAATCCAATCTACTGCAATACCTGGAAAACAGAACAGTGAGTATCACGAAAAAAATCATTATACAAGAAACTAAACGACAAAATAGAAATGAATGGAGGGGAGAGGGATGTATAGAAGGGAGAAAAAATGAGCTTTGAATTAATTAAGCACGAAGTCTAAGTAACTGAAAATTGTCAAGAGCAATAGTATCGATGTTTTTTTCGATTTTTTTTTTTTGAAATTGAGACATGGTTAGGTTGCCTGCGAAGTGCTATGAAAACATAAGAAGAAGTAAACTGCATCGCTTACATAAATCCTTGAATGCATTTTGAATGTATTGACATCAATTGAATGGGGAAAAAACGAAATAAAGAGAAGAATGATAAATTGGAGTAATAGTCATTGTACCTTCAGGGCTTCTGACTTGTGATCTCTCAAACACCACCTCTCGACCAGTCCCATCATACTTAGCGCGCATGATACATCCTTCAACGACCTCGGTCCAGTAAATGTACTCATCGACACAGTCATAATCCAGTCCCACATTGAGCATTCCTTCGTGATGAAAGACSAGACCAATGGCACCAGGACGAGGCGGTAGGGACATGCGCTGTACAGTGTTACCTTTAGTGTAGATTAACGATGCTTCGCCGTCTGCAGAAAAAAAAACGTCTTTAATTTACCCTTTTGTTTTTAGTGATTTCCATAAAAAAATGTTCCTTTTACACTTACACCACTGACATTGATTTCCTGAGAATCCTTTCGGGCACTTGCATTGGTTTTTACCGACGCACAAACCTCCATTATAACAGCGACGACAAATTCCTAGCCAAAACGACAACAAATAAATGTTAGAATGTTGTGGGACGAAATAGAAAACAAAGAAGGACAACCTACTTTCACAATGGCCGTTAACCTTYCTGTAGCCAGATTTACAGATACAAGTGAACGTCCCGAACGCGTTAATACACATTGACATGTCAGGACATGGTTTATTCTCACACTCGTTGATATCTAAATGAAGATTAAAGGTATGTTAAATCATACATTACTCCTTCAGTTTCTTGGCAATTGACGTACTATTGATTGCTTTTTACCTAAGAAGTTCTTTTGAGAAAACCCAGTTATCTTCGCAGTTTCGCGAATATTCATRCAGATTATTTTTAAGGCTGATTTACACGGTACGATTTGTCGCGCGCGACTTGTAGTATATGATTTTCCTACTATAAGTCGTAGGATTTTAAGCAGTGGTTCAAAACCCTACTACAAGTCGTAGGTTGCGTGCGACTGTTGTAGACAAGTCGTAGGGGCATTTACACTGCGCGATTCAAGTCGTATACTACAAGTCGCATGAGACAATCGTGCCGTGTAAATCAGCCTTTACTGTATAGTTAAAAGGTTATAATGTCCTTAAAAAGGAATCTACTCATCACACACCTGTACAAAGAATCCCATCTCCATCAAAGCCTTTCTTACATTGGCATGTTTTAACAAGCCCTTTACTGGTATTTGTAGTAATGCAGGCTGCGTTGAAGTCACAAATTCTTCCTTCGCAAGTGCCGTCGCCTGAAATGATYTCATGATTAATACTGACAGATCGTAAATAATTAAATAAAGACACCATTATCCCATCGACAAATCAAATCGACTGTTATATTTGTCCAATCAGAAAAACTTTTCTAATTTCTTTGTGTACTTACTGAGGCATTGTTTGCCATCGCCGACGTACCCACGATTGCACCGACAACGGTACGAACCAATTTGATTGACACATTCTGCTTTGCGATGACACTTGGCATGGCCGATAGTGCACTCGTCGATATCTAGCGAGCATAAAAAAAAATGAAAAATCAGTTCCCGAAGGCCAAATGTATTCGAAACTTAAGACTTCTAGCTTGAGATAATGGTAGTAAAATCACATCATACCATTACACACTGCGCCACTGCCTCGGAAACCGTCGTTACAAACACATGTTTTCTTGTCACTGGTTGGCGAGGTCGCAATGCATTTYGCATTGACGTCACACCTRACTCCTTGACACGTGCCATCATCTATTCAAATAACACACAATTAATGTAGTGGGCATGTTGGTTCTGTTTAGTCTGTCTGTATTTGATACTTTGATGCTTACATGCCTGCGCACTTTCGGCATGGTTTCTAACGTGGGCTCTAACGTTCTGACTATTTCGCATTTACGTAACTTGTAGCTTTCTTCCGTACATCCTTTTTTGCCTGCTTAAAATATCTTAAAAGTGTTTACGTACTTGCTTGCGTTCGTATGTGCTTTGTGCATTTGTTTGCCTGCATTCGTACGTGTTTTTGTTCTTGCGTTTTTACACGCTTTATGCATTTGTTAATTTTCTTGTGTATTTTCGTGCTTACGCAACGTACCTGTACAGTTAAATCCATCTCCTACGTAACCAAGGTTGCATTTACATTTAAATGAGCCTGCAGTGTTTTGGCACGTAGCGTGATCATGGCAGCTATCTTTGTTTTGAGCACATTCATCGATATCTGAAACGATAAAGCACTTATATTGTAATAAACCATTCAAAATAGTTATTTTAGCCATTCGTGAACAGAACAACGACGGCAAACATCTAGCCCAGTGTATAACCTCCATTTGCAGAAGGGATTGACCCCCTTCTATTAACTATCGAATGACGTACCAGATGGCGTATCAAATGACGTATCAAATGACGTGTATGTTATTAGTTACCTGCACATTTTCGACCGTCTCCAAGGTAACCAGGAATGCATTCACATTTATCACCCAGGGCCGTGTTCTGTTTGCAAATGGCGTCAGGATGACAGTTGATGCCCGCACAGGTCCCATCAGCTGCGAATAATAGCAAATTCTTATTTAGATACACACCGGTGAATAATTGTCAATGGGTGTGAACACATATTTCTATCATTGCCAGCTCGCGGGTAGTTTCGCTTTGATGAAAATGCATGGTTGCATTTCAAAATGTCGAAAGGGAACTGTAARGGGTACTACTAACGGATGAATTGCTTAGTGATSGAAGAATGACTAGACGAATAGGATTTCTTATCTTCAAACCTTCACAAAACGAGCCATCTCCTTGATATCCCGGTCTACAAGTACACGTGTAGGACCCTTGTGAATTGCTGCAGTCAGCTTTAGGATGACAAGGGTTGACGTTGAAACGACACTCATCACGATCTACAAATAAGAACTCATTTAGCAAAACTACTGATTCGTTTGCACTGATGTGTATTGTCGCAGTGTTTTTGTAATGTTTTCCATCCCTTTTGAGGGGAGGTTACAAAAAAAAAATCTAAGAACATCTCAGTCCGTTTCAAACGTCGACTTTCACATGTGTTGAAGTCAAAAGGAATGAGATGATAAGGAAAAAAACAAAAGATAGGAGGAATGCAAATTGAATTCAGCGAATGTGAGATTCGACGCTTGAAAAATACACAACAAAGACAACGTAAATATCATACCTTTACATTTATCACCATCTTTTTCCCAACCTGGGTTACAAACACATTCACGTACACCTTGGAAGCTCTGAAGACACTTTGCATTGACGTCACAGACCTTACCATCGCATGTAGTATCCTCTGTTGATTAGCAACATTTCCATTGTTTTCCGGATATAATTAAGTGAGTGAGTGCACCGAGTGACTTTTTGTTGTTTTCTATTTACACATTTTCTTTTTCAAAGCGGCATTATATTCTATTCAGTTTTATGTTGACAACGTTCTTTTAATAGCCGACTTTAGATATTTTGGTTCAGTGATCGACCATGCACAAAAGAATTGCAAACGAGGCTCCGGGGAAATAAAAGAATAAATCAAGATTATCCATTGTTTCCCCGGAGCCTCGTGTGCGTTCTTTTGTACATGGTCATTGAAACAAAATATCTAAAGTTGACTATTGTGTGTGTCTAATTCAGATTTATAAAGTAACTTACTGATACACTTTGAGTCGGATTTAATAAACCCTTGTTTACATCGGCATTCGTATGAGCCCTCGGTGTTGACACAAGCGGCGTTTTCTTGGCACGTAACCCGTCCTAATCGGCATTCATTAATATCTAAAAAAATTATACTAAAAATTAAATAAAATAATCACACTTTGCAGATCTCGAGTCGACAGTTGTCAAAAATCTTTTGTAGTCATACTTATATTCAAGCCTTTTTCTACCCTTTGCGCATGCTCCTAAACGTTTCTTCAACCTATCCCACATGGCTTATAAGACATAATTAAGCTAACCATTACAGAATAGACCATTGCCATAGTAACCAGATCCACAATTACAATAGAACGAGCCACGTGTATTGGTGCAAAGTGCTCGTGGGTGACAAGGATAGACTTCAGAACTACACTCATCTTTGTCTGCAGGAAATCCAAGCCAATAATTTTTATTAAATGTAAAGAATTGATATAAACGGACTTCGACTTGTCAGACGACTGCATTGGATGAGTACGTACCAGAACAAATTGACTGAATGGAAGCACGAAGAGAGAAAAAGCAGCCACGCACGTATGCGGAATTGCACGGATGATACGAACATTGATAAACTCTTCAAGAGCACATACAATAAGCGATTTGTTTGAGAAAGGAAGAAAGTAATTGAGGAAAATTATAACTAACGAGCTGCGTGATGAACGAGAGTACGGACGTAAAGCACAAAAAAGCCCTTGTTGCCTTTTCAAAACATAAAACCCGCAGGGCTTGACAGTAGCAAGTCAAAGAAGTAAAATAAGGATACAAAACAAATGCTTAAAGTCAAGAACGAACTGGAGCGACTTAAACAACGAATGAAAGCACAAACGAAATAATTGAAGACCGAAACAAACAGTGAGCAGCACGTAGCTAAACGTATGAATGTATCAGCGAGTAAATTACGAAAGAACGAAGAAGCGGGACGAATGACGAGAAGAACATCAGGTCATTTAGTTAACTAAATGAGCAGCAGAACGAACGAGCGAGCGAGCAAGCGAAACAACGAATAAACGACCAAAAACCACTCGCAAATGAAAGCATTGTTATGGCAAACATTAATCTCCAAAAAGTGATCAACGCAAACGAAAATGTTGCAATGGCAGGCTTATGTGTATTCAGCAGATCGTATAGGATTCTTAACGCCGTTCTTGTAATATTCAGCAAGCGACTGAATGAAGCAAAATAAAGAAATCACWGGTACAACACAGCAGCAGCGCTTGTTTGAGTGTATACGTGCATTGCGTCAGCTAGGCAAAAACCACACCCATGATGCATTTCGAATGTAGTYACGTCATGATTTCAAGCTCACCAACGCATTTCTCGCCGTCGTTTTCCCAGCCTGGTCTGCAACGACATTCGCGAATATTTTGATGSACCTGAACACACCTAGCATTTGGTATGCAGCGAACACCGTGGCAAATATGATCCGCTGAAATAAAAATGTCGACGTAAAGTCTCACTATCTAACGGGCAATTGCCATCGTCTCAACAGAAAGATGATATCAAATATTCATATTATCACGTGATATTACTCTTGYTCCTTTGTCGGGAAGAATGCTGAATTATTTCTTATCAATATAAAGTTGCCACGTGATATTTCAAGCCCCCAAAGCCTTGTGGTTAATAATGATGGTCCTTAAGCTGTAATACTCGTGGGCTTAAAGAGTCAAATTTCAAATTGCGGTTTACCTGTGCAGACAGAGCCATTTTGATAAAAGCCATTTCTACAGTTGCACTTGTATGAGCCCACGGTGTTGACACAGTCTGAATTGTCAGGGCAACTATTTTTCTTCGATTTACACTCATCTTCGTCTGTTAACAAAAAAACAAAAAGAAAATACAATTACACATTTTTTTGACAGAAAGTCATGGCAGACTGATATACCTGAGCATGATGTGCCGTTTCCTTGGTAACCACTGTAACATACACATCGCCTCGACCCGCCATCTTTAACCACACAACGAGCTCTGGCGTGACATATCTCACCGTCACATGTATTATCAGCTGTAATAATAATTAATCATCGCCATTTATTGATAATAGATATTAATTCGTCATAATAACCGTAAGCATACCTCTACACCGAAATCCATCGCCTTCAAAACCAGACTTGCAACTGCACGAAAACGARCCAGCGGTATTACGGCATAAAGCATTGGGGTCACAGCGACTTGGTTGAAATGAACACTCGTCTACGTCTAAAAATAAAGGTTTTCAAGTATGATTTT